CTCTGTCTCTGGTGAAGCCTCTCACCGCCCCTGACCCTTAGCCTGTACCCCAGTTCTGTATGCACGGATAAATAAATGTTAAAAAAAAATAATGATAAATCCATTGATCAAGTTCAGCCTTCTCAACTCCCACCTCTTCTCTCTAGTCCTCTACCCCTACAAACCCCGCAGCTCACATACGCAAAGATGCAGATGCATTCGGCTGCTTGCTAGGCTCACAGCCCTTACCTCTAGTCCTCTGGCATCACCTTCTCCTTCACCTACCCTTCACCGCGCTGATTTGTGCTCGTTCAAGTCCACCCAACTGCGAACTTATCTCTTCCGTTCCCAGGACCCACTTAGCTGAGTTTTCCCAGGGCCCCTCTGAAGAGAGACCTCCAGGAACTCCTGCAGGGTGAGAGTGTCTCCTTGCCCACCGCGGCCCCACCACCTGGCATGGCACCCAGCCACAGGGCAGCAGTGAGCAGAAGCAGTGCCTTGTGGACCCCAGTATTACAGCACCAAGGAAGGACACTGAATGCAGCCCAGAAGAGGTCCTCTCAGCCACGCTGCCGCTGGTGCACCTCACCCGGTACCCGGCGGTGACCTAAGTCCACGTCCGTGTCCGCTTCGGCTTCCTGCCTAACCTTCTGCTCTCCATCCCACCCGCCCCTGAAGTGAGTTTGGTAACTGCGCCTCCTTCCTGCTAAGAATCCTTCAAGCCCGCTAGGTGGATGGTTTTATGAAACAAGCAAAGCCTGCGGTGCTCTGGCATTTCAGAGGAGCGATGGAGCTGAAGCAGCACAGACTATGAGTGCCCTGAGTCTGCCATTCCTCGTGCAAACCACCAAAAGAGCGACCTGCGCCAGGGAGAATCTTGAAGCCCAGGGCACCGGGTGGACTTCTCATTGTGCCGCGGCTGCACCGGAGCAGAGAAGGAAGCAAGCGAGAGTCGGCAGAGTGGGGGGAGCCCGCTCCGTGAGTCGGTGGCTGTCACCTCTGCACCCCGTCCGGGCGGATGCGCAGAACAGCGAGCCAGTCACCTCCAAAGCACTGGTGGTGATGACCCCCAGGGCCCGCAGAGTGTGGCCTCAGTTTCTAACACAGACTCTAAACAGAATAATTCTCTCCTTCCACGGACCCCAGCAGCCACTGCTCCTGGGACCCCCCAGCAGGACTGCGCCTCCCAGCCCCAGGGAGCAGG